AGTCACTTGTAGGCGTGACTGCCTGTCCCACAGCAGTGAAACACGGCCTGAGAGAGAGTCACTTGTAGGCGCGACTGCCTGTCCCACAGCAGTGAAACACGGCCTGAGAGAGAGTCACTTGTAGGCGTGACTGCCTGTCCCACAGCAGTGAAACACGGCCTGAGAGAGAGTCACTTGTAGGCGTGACTGCCTGTCCCACAGCCTGAAACACGGCCTGAGAGAATGTCACTTGTAGGCGTGACTGCCTGTCCCACAGCAGTGAAACACGGCCTGAGAGAGAGTCACTTGTAGGCGTGACTGCCTGTCCCACAGCCTGAAACACGGCCTGAGAGAATGTCACTTGTAGGCGTGACTGCCTGTCCCACAGCCCCGTTACGCGCGAGAGAGAGTCTGAGAGAGAGTCACTTGTAGGCATGACTGCCTGTCCCACAGCAGTGAAACACGGCCTGAGAGAGAGTCACTTGTAGGCGTGACTGCCTGTCCCACAGCCCCGTTAAGCGTGAGAGAGAGTCACTTGTAGGCGTGACTGCCTGTCCCACAGCAGTGAAACACGGCCTGAGAGAGAGTCACTTGTAGGCGTGACTGCCTGTCCCACAGCAGTGAAACACGGCCTGAGAGAGAGTCACTTGTAGGCATGACTGCCTGTCCCACACCCCGATGCCATGTCGTTTGCTAACCAGTACAAAGACAGGACCTTTTTGGCCAATGTAAACACAAGAAAATGGATAGGGGACAGAAACCCAATATTGGTATCTTTTTTGGAAACCGCAATCGACGCAAACAAAACAAACTTATTTTTGACAGTAAGGGCAGTAGAACAAATTTATAAACTTTACGTGCCCAGTTTGATCTCCCCCTTCTCCTTCTTACAAAATTTGACTGTTTATACAGTGACGGGCAGTCGCCTTGCGGTAGATGTCATAGGGCATGGAGGTCCAGCTGGTTGCTACCAGATGGTGCAACAGTGGCTCAAAGAGCATGGATCGGGTATCCAGCTGGTGCCCGATGGTGCCGTAGTGAATGTGTTCGACAATGAGCAAGTCATCGGGAAAAAAAATAGGATAGCTCCTAATCAGGCCACTCCACTATCCGTAATCACCAACAAGGGCTATGTCTTACTGGATGCCACCTCCACTATTCAGAATGACCCAACTTTGAAGCCCCAGACAGTCAACCCGTCCCACCAGTTTGGAACCAGATGCTCGCAAACGCATTTGCGATTCCATCAATGACATTGCCTCCTCATCCAATCCGCTAAACAGGGAATACGAGTTGTTACACGGGGAACAACTTCATTTGTTTATAGATAAGGCAATCAAGGTAGTTAAAGAGGAACACAGGAGTAATGGGGATTTTATAGACGTAGCGTTAGAGAAGATTTTATCAGAGAAACAGGTCGTTTGTGAGGGATGCGGGGTTCGAAATTCTTTGAGGAAACAGATATGTGTAGGGTGTGGTGATAGGGAGGGATTACGAAGGGGCAAAGAAACTTCCAAAAACGCTAAGGTCCCATCAAACCATTTCGAGCGGGGACCCGTCGCAACGGAAATAACTCTCAACATTACAAATTCCGATTCCTGCACGGTTGTTACTGAGGATGAGAGATACGGCCACGTACCATCTGGGCACACAACCACGCACAACATCGTGCTCACTGACCCAGTATACATGAACCCCAATAGCACGGAGACAGTCAGGGAAGTGTTGAGGCAAATAGGTAGGGAAAACAATGTAGTTCAGTACGGCGGGGGTAAGAGGCATTGGACTGTGGTATGTTGTGATGGTTTGCCCTTCTCTATCATAAAGAAATTGAAGGATGAAGCTTGTGTGTGCCAGGTCTGTCACAACAGTTTCATAAACAAAAAGTCTTTCGAAACGCACAAAACATCCTGTGTAGACGCATTCTCAAAACTAGAATTTGACTGGGTGTATCTGAAAATCGGTTCTGGACATTATGAGATGAATCTCATCAAATCTTTCTTCGAGCTAAATTGGACACCATTTTTGGAGTATTTCTGTGAGATAATGGGGTTTGAAACTGAGGTAGCAAAAAAAACAGCCAAAAACGCAAACGACCATCACAAAAGTTGGGCCATGTTACTTGCATTCCATCTGGGCACTCTCTGTGAGCTCGTCACCCCCTATGTTACTTCAGAATCCGCACCCCATTCGGCCGCAGGTTTATTAAAATATGCAAAGTCAAAATACACTTCCCCAAATGCGAGCTACCTTTTGGACCAAGTGTTTAGGTATTCGCAAGGGATAATCAACTTTCGAATGGCAGTTGGCAGGAATAACCACCCCCTTCTTCATAGCGCCAAATTTATGACAAAAGAGTTGTTCCATGGTAGGAACCACCCAAAATATAGGGACATAGAGGTGTTTGATGTAGTACAATACATGCACATGCCCCCGGAAGTCAAAGATTTGTTTGATAGGTTTAGCTCCATTACAACCAGCGGCCATCCATCTTTGGGGGAGTGCTTCGACTTTGTTTTAGAAGAAAAAAACAGACGAGTCAAAGATCTTATTCCGAAGGGCATGCCGACTGACGACATTTGGCTGACGGCATGTCGCAATGAGGCGCTATTAACCGAGATTCGGGACAAGACGCTGGCGGAGATGGGCATGTCCCAAACTGGCACTCGGCTCAGACCGCTCAACGTAGAGGACGCCATTGCTTCTTGGCAGCCCTGTCTGCGACAAAGCGAGTATATTGAGGGCACTGAGGTGCATACAAGCATGATCGGCTGTGCCCTCGATCCCTACTTGGTGGATTTCATCGAACAAGCAAACCTGCGGCGGCAGTATTACATTAAGGTGAAAATATTGGGGGAATACGAAGATATACTGCCCCAGCTCAGACAGCCACTGTTTATTACTGGCGATGAAAGGATTCTGCACTCCGGGCCAGAATCATTGACAATACGGGATTTACAGCGAGAAATTAAACAATTAATGCCTCGTCTGACCCAGTCACACCGTGCGGCCTTCGAACAGCGACTTAAGGCTAGGGGGCAGAAGAAGGAGATATATCTCACTATATACAGTGAGATTCATGCCCTACTATAACATATAATGCTTTGTTCTTTTTTCCAGCTGCATGTAATATAATTATATGGTAAATAAAGCTCGTTTTCATGTTCAAGATGTCTGTCTATTTGTTTATATCCATAACATGTACATATGTATATATTAGTACATTAACGTTTTTAATCACCCTGTTCAAGCCCGGATTGATGATCTGATATCCCCTGATTGGGCTCAAGCATTCGCATTATAGCTCAAAACATTTTAAAAAGAAATTTGGTTTCTTTTAATCTCGGACCGGGATCCCCATTGAATGTGGGAAATCCTGTATGAAAGGGGACGGGTGCATCGTGCTCAGGGACCCTGATCTGTCGATATTCGTACATTTCAAATTGATAAAGCTCAATTATATAATGTCTTATGATAGAATGTAACAAATCTTATTGGAATGCTGCATTTCACATCCCTTCACAACCTCCTAATTCCGTTGTATTACTCACTTATAGATAATGGACAGTGATCACTCTCGTGTGAAGCCTGGTGTGAAAGTTGTCACCGAAGACGCCAGGCGGATGGAGAAAAATGCACAGAACGATGAAGGCCATGGTCCGTGCTGCGGAAAAGCTTCAGAAAGAGGTCCCCGAAATGGAGTTTATCGTTGTTCTCTCGTATCCAGGTAGTATGAAGTTTGCCGGCTCGGGAGCAATGCTCGATTGCTTCAAGAAAGGAGAGCCCTTGACAGTTGGTAAGCCAGCCCGTATCAATTACACCGCAGACACCCAAAGTGAAGTTGTAGATTTTCCATTAACACCACCCTTCGTGGAAGTGGCCACCCCTGAGTGTCTTGGGACAGCGACGACAGGGGAACAGCTACAGGAGATGTATAACAGCGTAAGACGACAGTAAGTATAAAGAGTCCAGTTACAACAGTACTTCAAGACAGGCGCGCAATGTCTGACCCTTTTCCCCACGTTGAAGCATATTGAAGAAAGCTAAGCACGACGTCGTGTCGTATGTACATGTCCGGTTTTCGATCAGAGCCTTCAGCATCATACATATGTACTGTATATTCTCTCGAAATTACGACAATTGCTTTGCATTTCTATCGGCCAGTCAGCCAACTAAGGTACCTGAACATTTTTACTTTCAGATTAATACCTGATGTCCCACAGGGCGCCCAACTGGACGTGGATGATAACCCGTAAGTTTTGATAACCATTACCGTACATCGACATGACTTTAAACTGTTTTAGCCAACCTTTCTCAGGCTATAATCATATCGTGTTGTCTGTTACAGTGAACCAGCAGCGAGGGAGCCTAAAAGAGTCAGAAAAGGTTCGTACTACTACCATTATTAGTTACTAGTTTGTTGGGTCCAGATATGGACTACGGCATCAATATAGCCAAACCACGTTTTCTATATTTTATTTTTTCTATATATTTGCTATATATTTTTTTCTTTTCTTTTATAGCCCACGATATCGTCAGCTCAGCCGGGAACATCAGCGGCATAGAACCACTACGTGAGTAACCTTACATCCTCCTCACAATAACAATAACTCATACGTTAACATACGTTTAGCAGGTTATTCAACATTACAACACAACTTATTCTAAAATGCCAATAATGCATTGCAGCCACCAGGACTACCAGAGGAAGGGCCGCTGCTCGGGACATCACAGCGGAAGTCCAAGCATCACGTGAGTACTTTCACACCACCACATTTCCCATGGTCCCTTTATTGTAAAACCTATTCATTTTCCTGTTAATACGAACGAAAGTGTGACTCTTTTAAAAAAAAATTCTACTAAGATAGTTACTAATGTCGACCCCTACGTGGATATCAACTACATTCGATTCATACTAGAACATACATATTGGCAGGCTATTCATACAATACCCGTAATGCATTGCAGCCACCAGGACTACCAGGAGAGCCGCTGCTCAGGACGTCCAAGCATCACGTGAGTACTTTCACACCACCACATTTTCCACTAGTTTTGGTCATTTTTTTATATGTTATTTAAACATTTCCTTTTCCTTTTCTAAACAATTCACTTTCATATTTCAGAAACCCAGGATAATCCTGCCCAAGGGCCGACTGGATCCATGAGGTAAATTAACAAGACATTAAAGTGATTATTTATTGCATCAGAAAAGATTTGTAACAAGATATATTTCATCTTAAATATTAATATTCATATATATATTAATGAATTATATGTGTTTCAGTGTCGCCAGCATACGACCCGGGGCATTCGTGTATGTCTCCGTGCCAACCCAGTCAAACAGGGCTGTGCCGTTTGTCACGGAGGTTGGTTAACAAATTAGTTACCCATCTATATAGCTTATTTAAATTTTCCGAAAATATTACATCGTCTTTACAATCATTACAACTAGATACCATTGTATGGCAAGTCTGTACATCGATTTCGACTTACCACTTACCACACCAAATCTTACCTGAAAAACATGTGCTGATTTTTTCTTTACAGGTTACTTCAGAGAACCCACTCAGGGTGAAGTACCTCCAGCCCAACAAAGCGAAAGGATCCTGGAGGTTCCCAGAGCAGGATGACAGGGACACCATCAACAGCGAAGATATTATCAAGGTTTTGGCGGCACCAGAAACATAGATTTCTGGTTCCCGTTTTTATGCAGAATTTAGAGACTTAATGTAGATTTTTGTATATGTGTTGTGTTGTAGATTTTTATATGTATTTTTGTTGTAGATTTGTATATATTGTAAACTCTGTAATCTAGATCTATTCATAAAAAAAAACTGTAAAATTAAGCACTCGTGTATAATACGCACCCTTTTTTCTTATTATTTCAGATATACGGTATTAAATACGAAATACATTATACATGCTATATCACTGATTCTGTTTTATGTTCTCGTGATTCACGACTATAATGTATTTGGTCTGCTGCCAATATACCACCACAGTCATTCCACTCGTGATATGTGCCCCTCTCATGGTCATTTTGGCGAAAACGGGCAAACCCCAACTCGTTGAAATTTGGTTCACATATTTCCCCACTCGCCCCTTACAGTCTTACATTTAGTAGCAAGGAATGAGTGGTAACAAATGGTCGCGTTTGTTTTCTTACAGCAAGTATACTGCCACAGCCTAATTACTGTTCCTGTGTAATTGATGGTGTAATTTGAGGACAATGTGTCAACGCCCATTGCCTTCAATTGTTTATTGCCGCTTTGAACAGCCGCGCGTTTTGATAGGCAGATTGGTGGCACGTGAGCAGCTCCGCTCAGTGATCATCATCAACATTGTCGTTGACAGAACCCAGTACATACGCGTTTCATCCGCAAATTTGTTAGCGTCTCCGGTGTATTCATTGTCTGAGGTAGCTATAAGCTGGACAAATATGATCCCTCATGATGATCACTCTCAAATGTACGGGGTACGCAATATCTGGTACTGGTACCTTGGGTCACGTGTGCACTTTTACGCGGGATCATCGTGAATCTGTCCTTGGCAATATACAAGCCAGCGTGGGTTAAATAACTTTATGATATGCACAAATGGCAACAATAATCACAAGATGCAAAGTAGCGTAATACCGTAGCACCTGAAAACAGTATTCACAAGTTCATTCAGTTCTTATAGATTTTATGATTTGCAGTGAACAACACTTTCTACACATTTACACTATCATTCAAGAAAATAAGGGACACGTTTTTTTACTGCGCATAATATGATAAGGAACATGTACACACACACTGACTACAAAAAACACATCAATCTTGCGGTTTCTCCGATAGGTGACGCTGGGGCTCAGCGAGAATAGCGCTGAACCGCATTTAGGCGCATTAGTAAAAATGACATACAATTCGGGCTGGTGCCACTGGAGAAATGCTTTGTCATTTTTATTAATGCGCATTTTTATTAATCTCGTGACCGGTCATTGTTTTGTTGTTTCTCTGTATGCAAACTGCGCCCCGGCCTATTTAAACGCCGACTGTCTCACATTGGCTAATCCCCTTGTGACCGATCATTATACAACTGAATGGTGTTAAAATATGCACTCGTCTAAATACGAAATACTATACATTATCATTGCTTTTTCAGTTCTGTTGATACACGAATGAGTGACGAAAACGGCATGCCAGAGATCGGGTAACGTGATCGAACAGGTGGTTTGCTGAAACTCTATCCCGGCAGAGCAGAGGCAAGTTCTGGTCCATATCGCGAGCCATGGCTCTGAAGACATCGGGAGGAGACGTCGATTGTGTGGATGTAGATGAAGGTACTGGTGTACTGGTCGATGGTCCATGGACCTCCGACGTAGTCGAATCCTTCTTGGTCGACTCCGTCGAGGCGAGTACCGCCGTCGTGATCTGGGCTATCAAAGCCGGGTCGATATGAAAGTGAGACGAGGGTGTCGATCGGTCATTATCTCTACGACACTGTCGTCACAATCCATCGTCGACGTCAATTGTGTAGGCGTAGATGAAGGAACCGGTGTACAGGACGATGGTCCATGGACCTCCGACGTAGTCGAACCCTTCTCGGTAGACGCCGTCAAGGCGAGTACCGCCGCCGTCATCTGGCCTATCAAAGCCGGGTCGATATGAAAGTGAGACGAGGGTGACAATCGATCACTATCTCTACGACGCTGATCTCCCAAAAACTCCCTGGGGACGAGGGCTACGATCTCTAACTGTAGAAGTACTAGGATCCCCATCGTAGTTATCGTCCGAATCGAACTCCCGACGACCTCAAAGGCGACGAACGTCCTTGTGTCGTTTACTGTCTCTCGACGAGGCCCTCGACCTGTCGTCCCGTGAACGGGAACGACTTCTAGAGAGGGATCTGTGTTCACTGTCGACCCGCACGACGTTCCTATCGTCGTTGGTAGGACGAGAGACGGACCGACTGGGGACCGTAGTCCCCTCGTGGTCCTCGTCACCACCCGGTCCCGTCGTAACGGGGGTGGCTGAGTGACGCTCTCGATCAACCGATTGACGAAGATCAGTCGTGCGGGTAGTATCATCAGCAGGCGAACGGTCCCGTGTCTTGTCGAAAACATAAGTTGACTGAGGCGGGTCTTTTTCAACTGATTTCTTGGGTGTGGCCGACACGCCACCCCCAGGGCCAGATGTAGGGGGTGCAGAGTCCAAGGATCCACCCGATGACCTCCTCTGCTTGTAGCGCTGATCAGTAGCCCGCTTCGCCAACGCACGAAGATACAAGTTAAAGTTGATAGAAGACAAATGCTCACATTCTTAACAACGTTTATTCCACGAACACGTTGAAACCCGTCCTTATTTATGCAGGAAGGACAATACTTGTGAGGATCTACTTTAGACAGTTTTCCTTGACATGAGGCACAAATGCCCGACATGTTGCCACGTGTATAATCAAGTGAAACACGTGTTGAACCCAAACAATGGATTACCAAGGATTACATTCCAGGAGTCTACAGGTAAGACATAGTATTATTACTGTATTAGAACAACAACTGTAGACACACGATAAGTACTAGTAGAATACAAACTAGCAGTCTATCGCGAAAGTCCTTCTCGAGCGACCAGCTCAGAGGCGCGCTGAGAGATTTGTGGCATGTCATCGGGAGGTGCGTGCGCAACCGGACGGAAACAAGTTTATTGTTTACATTCCAGCTTCTGGCTTCCTTTTAACGTGCGACTAGAGGTATGAGATACCCAATTGTACCCAATTGTACGACTGAAAACAGACTAAAACATATATATGGGAGGGGGCATAGCTATGTGTCTTATAGCTAATCACTGCTCCTGAGTAGTTCAGGGTGTAATTTGAGGACACGGTGCTATTGCTTATTGTCGTTTGACAGACGCGCATTTTGATAGGCAGATCGTTGACACGTGAGCGGCCAAGCGTATTAACAACCGTACTGTTGTTGCTAGTACACACGGGTTTTCGCTATACCCGTTATTTAGTACTCTATTGTGTCCAGCTCGAAGCTGAACAAATTAACTTAATCAATAGTGTTATTCACTTAAGAATCAATACTGCTATCCCATCGACTGAATTTATGATTTTCAGTGAACAACAATTTCTACACGTTTACACTATTAACACTATTCCATTCAATACTCAGATGTAAATTGTGTCTAAACCGTGCATCAACAGATTTATTTCCAGAAACACGGTCAAATTACCGCTAACGAACAGGTAGAGCTGTTTGCCTATAATTTCCGAACAAATAATTTTAATATCTGCATATAAAACAATGCCAAGCAAAACAGAAAATAAAGGATACTGCGCATAATATGATAATGATCGTGTATCACTATCGACAACAAAAACACTGGTACAATAAGTCACTGGGAAAGTTTTCACTGTTCCCTATCGTAGCACAGACAGACATCGTAACGGTATAACCGAAATCAACTGAATCTTATTCAAGAAAGCGCATATGCTCATAGTTTCACAAAAATTGGTACATTCAACTTTGTAGCCTGCAGCCTCGGGTTTCACGGTACTTGTCATATACGCTAAACGGAACAAATTGCACTCACTAACATTTATGATTGTTCCTGTTGATGTCAGACTTCAGTGATTTGTTCAAAGACAACACAAGTAAAATTCTGAATGTGTTATCATTAATAAGTATTCAAAGCATATTTCCTGAAAAGTAACTGAAAAGTTAGAACAAAATATTTTTAAACTTATAAAATATCAGAAATGATATTTTAAGATTTTTGGTGATAAAAATTGGATGAAAATAAATTGTAAAAAAATGGAAACATGTGAAAAATATATATAAAGCACTCCATATCACTTTCAAGTATGTATTTATGATTTGGCTACTAGTGAAGAAAGTTCTGCTAAGTATTACATTTTGGCCCTTATTATCTCCTAATATATCCTGGCCACAGCGCGGGAAAATGTGCGGGCTACGTAACTTCCGTTTCCTTATTAGTCGCCATGAATATGTAGATGATCTAGTTCAGGTCGAGAGAAAGTTTATTTAGGAAACTGCCGATCATATCGCTGTCCATTGACAGATTGGGCAATAATCTGATAATAATAAAATAAAAAGATACCAGATATAAGTATCAATGCGATAATGACCCCTAACTTGCAGCAGACGAAACATTCCGAGGAAATTGAAATTGTTTACGGAGCGAGCACTTCCTGGTTACAGATTGTCATTAACAGACACCCGCTAAAAGGTGTGTCCGGCGTGAGCGACCCGAAATCGCAAATGCCGCGATACGAAGAATGCCGCGGTATCACGAGGTCCGAGTATACACCGAATATTTCAGAAATAACATGAACAAAATGGCGATAACTGGTCGCTAGCTTCGACATGTACACTTTCAAGTGTATCCAGTCCAGAATGACATGTTAACATGTCTTAACAGGTTAAAAAATAGGGTATGTGAAGATTGGAAGGCGGATGCCTCGATGCACGCGTGACCCGCCAGTCACGACCTTGGGTGGATTGTTGTCCCTCTCGGCAGTGGGTGATTTTACATAGCGCTTTAATTACTTTCGCGGAGGTCGCGGGTGAAAGCACAGCCACGGTGATTGAATTAATTAGTATCAAGCGCTTCACTGAGTACTGCGGACCGCACCCGTCTCGCGTACACGTTACGTCTGCGACTGCTTAAGTCAATGAATGAGTACTTAGGCCTCATAATTAGAATATATACATATTGATCAAATTGAATTCTTATATTTACAGATTTACTTGACTGATAGGAATAAGTAGGGACTATCTTATTTTCTTTGTTAAACATAAATCTCACAATATAATAATAGTAAGTATTAATTGTTTAAATTCATTTGTTACATTTTGACATGAGTAATTTTTTTTTTAAGTGATAGATTCTAGTTTGATAATGGTGAGACACTTTCTGCTCC